AAACAAAACGTCGAAGTGGCTCTGAAAGTCTGAAAGCCGACAATATCCTAGTTGCTAAGTGTAAAGTCAATAGCGCTCGCAATTTGGCAACGTTGACGGAAAACATCGAAACCATTGTCCAGTGTGGACAAAAGCCACGGATAAGTAATGAAGCAATTCTATGCACAGTACATGCTCATCTCTTATAGTCAACCAAATCTAAGAAATACATTTTGACAGCTGTCAGACTTATTGCACCAGGCATGCCAACCAAAAAATGGGAACGAAAATATTCGATTCTTAAAAAAATCGATATCGATTATTTAGAGTTTGTTCTTAAAAATACCAGAATTAAAGCATTTACTGTTTGGTTTTAATAATACCAGAATAAATTAAATACGGATAATTTAAAACACAAGATTTATCAGTTTCTATTAGGTTGTTGTAGAGCCGTGGTAGCTCAGATGGTTAGCGCTCGCTATAAATTTCACAGTACGCGAGCAAACCGGATTCGATCCCCGCCGGCTCCAATGAAATTATTAATTGCAATTTAAAGTGCTGATTTACCACGTGCTCGGCGGTGAAGGAAAACATCGTGAGGAAACCTACATGTCAGAGAAATAAAAAAAAATAATAATATTTCGAAGACATGTGAAGTTCGCCAACACGCATTGGAGTTCCTTACCCTAAAACCCTCTCAGAAATGAGCGGAGGACTATGCCCAGCAGTGGGATGTATATAGGCTGTAACTTTACTTTTTTTATTATGTTGTTGGTACTGCTTATTTCTAAAGGCACAGTTATAAAAAATTAAGATTATACCTAAATTAAAAATTAATTTATTCAATCACTATCAGTACAATTAGTTGAGTTGTCATTGTTTGATTTTCAACAATTCAGTCAAAATTAATGTCTCTTTCAAAGACTTCCACAATATTTTTTTTGTTTTTTTTCTATCACTTTTGCCCAATTATCCTTTATGAAACGGGCACATGCTTCAACGAATATTGAAGAAACAGTCCAAAAAGTTAAAGCCGAGTCACAAAATAAGAAGACAAACACAAAATCACAAAATTACGGACAGTAAGCTCCCGAAATGGCGGGATATTGAAATTACGTAGTGGTTTTTATATCGCGACCTTGTATATGAGTTTTTTTGCCTACACAAATTGACGTTGACAAATTAAAAAAAAATAAACTTCTATAATCATGATTCATGTAATTTATGGAATTTTAAAAATAAAAATTAAATTAAACAAATAATACATAATATTATTAATATTTTTACCGAATATTGGAATATTTTTGCCGATTATTCGCATAACAATTAATTTTAATAATTCAAACACTACGGTAATGTACATAACGATATATCATTGAAACAACGTCAAGTACAAAAAGTTGATAGTGGTTATTTTTTAATATTTTGCTTTGTTTGAAAGATTCAAATCTAAATTAGTGATTTTTTTTTTGAATTTATTTAATATAAGAAAAAAAATATATAAAATCACACAATGTAAACATCCAGAAAAACCCGTAAGGGTTTTTCTGGATGTTTAAATTGTGAGAAGAAGTTGAGACACTTTTGAGCAATCTGTTGACATTAGTTTGTACGTATTATTATTTAATAAGAACATCGAATATAGTATTAACAGTATGAAGTATAGGTACATTGTTTACATACAAGTAGACATAAAGGAACCGGTTATAGATAAGCAGCTCGGCACGGCTGACAGGATATAGACAGGATGTTTCGATTATCGATATGATATTATGTTAGGTTTGATTTCATTAAAATTAGACAACTTGTTATTAAAGTAAAGAATTAAAGTATTGCTTATATTTATTTTTATAGTTTTTGTCCGTTATTCCTAATCTGATTTTAGTAGGTATATCATTAACGAGGGTTGGTATTAAATACGCGTTCGTTCGTTTTCCGTAATAATTTCTAACTCTTGGTAATTCTAGTTTTGATTGAGTTACTTTCCGTGTCATTGTTTTATGATTCACTTTTATTTGTATTTCTTTGTTCGTAAATTGTTCAATTAATAGCCACAATTTTATTTTAATATGAACAGGCAATATCTCACAATATTTAAATAAAGCTAATACATCGTCTCCGAAGCAGATTGATTTTTTAATTTTATCAGGTATTATTATTTTTAAAAGCCGAAGTTGTAGGCTGTATATTTTGTCCAAATATGTTTTAAACGTCCTACCATAGCTAGTGATCCCATATGAAATGATTGACTCTGCGAGTGCATATAAAATTAGTAATATTTTAAATGGTACTTTGTATTTCAAGATAGCAAATTTGGCCAGCATTGCTCTCAGTTTTTCACATATTGAGTCAATGTGATAACCCCAGTTAAATATCACTACTAGCTAAATATTTGTAACGGGGAACCTGCTCTAACAATTCACAATTTGCACCCGGTCCTATTTGTTTCAAAATCATGCAAGCACTGATGACTATGCGCAATTACTTCGATTTTCTTATCAAAATTGCGTAGGTAGTGAGATCGAATATGAATAATTTAAGTTTTACTAGCATTCAGTACTAAACCAACATCACTGAGACCATTTACATAAGTTATTTAAGTCGATTTGTAAAAGGTGTTCGGCCTTATCTAGATCTTTATCGACTGCTATAAGACATGTATCGTCCGCGTATTAATAAATGGAACAATGTTTTATTACATTTTCCATATCATTCACTTATGCTAGATAATGCAAGGGTCCGAGCACGGAGCCTTGTGCTGTTCCAGTAGTTACAAATATTTCGTCACTGAAATCATTGCCGATCTTAACCCGGTATTTTCTATCGTTGAGATAATCTTGGCACCATTGTAATAATGGCCCGCGGATACCTGTATTGTCAAGTTTTTTTTATAAGAATATCGTGCCTAAGAGTATCAAATGCCTTACTAAAGTCAATGAATAATAATATGACATGTGTTTTATCATTCAGGTGTTGGTTTATTTCGTCCGTGAATTTAGACAGCAATATAGTAGTTGATTTCTTAGATTGAAAGCCGTATTGAGCATTTGATAATATATCGTTTCTAGTATAAAAATTGTGAATTTGCTGAGCCACATATTTTTCGACTACCTTATCCATGACTGACAGTATTGTTATAGGCCTATAGCTATCATACTCACTATGTGATCCCTTTTTATAAATTGGTCTTACGGTGCCAGTTTTCAATTCTTGTGGATATTTTCCTACTGCTATGCTAGTGTTTATCAGCTTAACTACAATATTAGCAATCTTGTCACTCAGCATCTTAACGTCAAAACATCGGATTCCATCATTACCAGCCGATTTATTTGCATTTAAACTTTTTATAATAGTTAGTATATCGCGCTTAGTAGGTTTTTTAAATAACATAGATTTGTTTTCAGGAAATATGTATTCCGATTCTGACATAAGTTTTTTGCTGCATCCAGGCAAAATTTTCTTGACGTTTTCACAGAATTCTTTAGCAAAATTGTTGGCTATATTTTTTAAGGTTAGATTGTTTTTCTTGAATGCTTTGGTTACAGCTTCATCTACTGACTTACAGACTCTACCAGTAAGCGTATTTATTATATCCCACATTTTCTTTTTATTCATTTTATTATTATTAATTAAATCATTAAAATATTTGTTTCTAGATTTTTCAATAAATTTTTGAGTTTTGTTTCGCTGTTTATTAAATTCTAATCTAAATTCGTATCCTTTTTCCACTGATTAAAAAGTAAATCTCTTTTTCGGCACATGTTGTTAATTTTATTATTTATCCATAATTATTTGTTTCTTTTGCTATTTAAATTTATTTTTTGTGTATATTTGGGTAGTTCGTAACACATTTTGAATTTATTTTTAATATAATTTTAAATCTCTATCGGACATAACATCGTATCGAAACCATTCCAATCAATTTCATTTAATTTTTGTTTTAATATATTATAATCAATTAGTTGTTTAACTTTTGCACCATTCCGTATAATGTTTGCAACTCCGCTTCCTATGCACGACAACACAACCATACGATGGTCCGCCATTACAGTACCGAGTGCGGCCGAATAAAGGTCTAGCGAGCGCGTTCTTGCAAAAATATGATCAATGCAACTCCGCGTAATAATATCTTTTCGGTTTTCGATTCTAGTGTAATCTGATATTGCACACGCTAGTCCACATTCGGCCATGCAACTTATATAGTATTCTCGTATGTTATCATGCGACTTTAAGTCGATATTTATATCACCCAGTAAGTATAAATCCGAGCATTTAAAAACGTCCTTACACAACAGTTTTTTCAATTCTTTGATAAATAAGTGTTTGCTTTCTTTGGGTGGTCTATACAATGAACAAATAAGTGCCGTGTATTGATGTGACGTAGATAATTTACCTATTAAAGATTCACAATGGTTTAGTGATATATTATTTAGAATTTGAAACTTGTGGTTACTTTTTATATACATAACAATGCCACCACCTCTTCGCTGTTCACGAAGCTTATAGTACATTTCATAGCCATGAATATTAAATAATTGAACAAGATTACTGCTTTTGGAAATTCCTACCTCTGTTAATATAATAACGTCGACATCAATTTTAGACGAATGAATGAATTGTAAAACCAGACAAAATGTTTTTAACTATTGATCGCAAATTTATGTGGACAATATTTAGTTGTTGTATATTACGTGGTAGATATTTACTAAACTCGTTTATGTTAGTACAGTCAAACAATTCTTGTATTTCCTGTGAAGGAACTGTTGCGTTGTGTAAAACTGCTATCGATATTTTTGAGAAGACAACTTATCAATATCACATGAGCTTCTTATGATAACGGGCTTGTCATTATCAAATTTACGAGCCAAAACTTTACCACCCTGGAACCAAATATATTTGTAAGTCTCCTTCAAGGTTTGTTTAGCTTGCCACAGAAGTGTTTTATTTGCTTTGGTTAGTGCACGCCGAAGTAACACTCTTCTCTTGGCTACTTCAGGATTAGGGGCATTTGGAGTTATATCTTACAAAGCAATTGTTTCCGTTCGTGCAGCGCGGATCCACTGGTAGACCTGCTCCTCTTGTTGTAATACTACCTGGATCACACCTTCTTTACCGTCCCTGCCTTTCAGTCTTTTCACCATTGACGCTTGACGTTTCTCTACGTTTAGTTTCGAGGCTAGTTTACTTGAAAGTTTTTCCAAGTTCTCGTCCTTATCTTCGAGAATTCCTGTTATTTCCAGTACATTATCCAACTGTTTTTGTTCCATATTTCTGATTTGTTGTTCCATAGCATTAACTTTTAATTCCAAGTGGGTATTTTGATTTGTCAAGTACATGTTTTTCTTCTCCAAGTCTTTCACTTTCTTAGTTAGGATTTCCAGTGTAGCATTTATCGTATCCATTTTTATACACCATGAGCTTAACGATTCGTTCACAGAAGCCAGTTCATCTTCACTGCTTTCTTTACCTCAAGTGAGATATCACGAAGTAATTTACTCATCGCTGTCGAACCGCTTTCACCCAGCTGAATCCCATCAGTATCATCTTCATCGTCCTCCGGAATTATGAAAGACTTACGATGAGGCGATTCTTTACGACAATCCTCACATGTCCACTCCAGGTTTTCAGTATTGCGCAGAGCTGATAGCTGCTTCGAAGATAAGCCTGTGCATAATTGATTGGCGTGTACTATTTTTCCACAATTGTTGCACTCAAGCCTAGGTGACTTTTTTGTTATGGACTCATCACAATTGTCGCATTTAGACATTCTTACTTATTAAATATTGAGGGTAAATTTATCCGTACACAGTTAGACTACGCTGTACGAGAGCTCGCGAGTGACTGAAGATAAAAAGCTACACTCGTTGTAATGAAATATAGATAACTTTATAATTCTTCAGATTTACGTAAATGGTTATTTTGACTTCAGATAATTAATAACAATATAATAGTTTCCACATAGGTTCTGTTGCTCATAATCTCATATTTGTATACAAATATTATATTATTTATAATTATAATCATAAATGACACCGCATTGAATGAAATCAAATTTTTAATTTCTGATATTTTGCAGCAGCTATGATAACAAAGAGTATAAGCGACCGGTGTTATTAGTCGTGATTTCATAGAATTATTTTAAGATTATTTAATTGGATAGTTAATACAAATCACAATATCTTGATATTTTTTGCCGAATGATGAATGAAGTTATATTTTGGGTGAGACTTCATTCCATCAACTTCTCTCCATTTGTCCTCTTACTCCCAATAAAATTCACAAAATAATAAAAAAAAACTGACAACAATTTCTGAATAAAAACTATATCCAAATAAAACCAACTACTTATGTACATGTTATGGATCAAGTGGTTAATCAGGGCGCTATTTATAATGCCCGGGTAGTATGAATAATGATAGGTCAAATCGGGCTTTGTAATTAATTCTGATTTAGACTTCAATATTTATTAAATTGTCTGATCATTATGAATAGTGCTACGTAACTGACGGGTAATTTGATACAACTTAACATAACCTAACCAAGTTAATCACAATAAGTTAATAATGTTCGAAATCTGATATTAACAAGCGTAAAATGTGAAGGATGGAAAAACCACTTTGAAGTATCAAGTAGCAGCAACATTTACGTAACAAAGAAAAAATACCTTTGATAAAAAACTTTATTTCCATCGTATTTCACAGTTAAATATATTACATCAAGAAAACCAAACCTAACATTACCTAGACTTTATTACACTGCCCAATAATTAACGGCCTTTCTTTCTACAGCCCGGTCTATATAAATATTTCAATAGATTTTATCACATTACGTACTCATATTGGGTATTATTCATATTGCCCGGTTGTTACGAATAATGCCATATTAGTTAATTGGTTCATAACATACACATAACTAAGGGTTGACATATTTTCTGTCATGTGGATATGGGCTCATAATAATAAATTTTTAAATTTTTCTTCTTGTGGCGTTTGATTCATACTTTATGCTGAGCACATTATAAAGCTTAGACCTATAAGTTAGTTTTAATCTGTATAATTATATTATATACTCATACAAATAAAAAGTGTATGTCTGTAATGTTGAAATAACCAGTTTCTATTTAGCTCAGGGGATTACTCGCATACTATTAAGGCATAAAATTAAAAAAAGTTTTAAAAAAATGGCTGTCCGTCTGCTGCTGGGCAAATCCAATGGCTGAACCGATTGCGATGAAACTTTACAGATAGAGAATAATGCCTATATGCGTCCCACTGCTGATCACAGGCCTCCTCTCATTTCTGAGAGGGTTTTAGGGGCAAGGAATTGTCCGCCGCGCTGCCGCTATGCGTGATGGCAAACTTCACATGTCTTCAAAATTTTTTTAATCATATTTCTCTGACATGCAGGTTTCCTCACGATGTTTTCCTCTACCGACTAGCACGTTGTAAATCAGCACTTAAAATTTCAATTAACAATTTCATTGGTGCCGACGGTGATCGAACCCGGTTGGCTCGCGTACTGTGAAATTTACAGCGAGCGCTAATCATCTGAGCCACCTCCTAATATGCCTATATAGAAGATAAAATATATTTTATTCGAAATCTAATTCGAGAACTTATAAAAATAAATAGTCTTTGACTATTTTAAATCTAACACCACATGAATAGATCTTATCCAGGCAAAACCGGGGTGAATCACTAGTAACTAATAATCATTTCGTTTAACCTTAAACCCAGCCAACTTTGATAAGAAGATTTTCTGCTGAGAAAAATTCTAAAAAGTTTTATTTACTAGAATCAAACTTTATAACTTATTCAATTTCATGTGTTCAAGTAGATTGAAAAGGATTAAAAACTTTGTCAGAACTCTAGCAACAGCCACCGCAGTAGTTTTTAACTCGTGTGTGCTGCAAACGTATCCAGCCTTATGGTTTCTTTTTATATCTTGTAAAAGTTGAATGAAAAGTTTTTTTATAATTTTAATAAAATTTCAGGGGCATTAAAGTGTAAGTATTCTTATTAGTTTCTTTTTGTGATATTTAAAATACACATGTATAAGCAATAATAAGGAATTCATTTACGAAAATATTGTACAAAATCCTTCGGGCGAGAGTTAATACCGTACTACCGTCCTATCATTCTCCCATTTATTGAAAGTTTCTTAGAAATTAAAAGAGCACATAAAATATCGTGTTAGCTTTATATTTTACATTTTTTAAGTTATGTGTATTGTCCTTGTTAATTTCTCGATTTGGTATATTCTTTTGCTTGAGTAAGTTAATAGTGTGTTTATAATTTGTAAACGAAATAGGACATTGGGTCCATTGAATTCTAAAAACTTGCGCACCCCATCCGTAGGCACTCGCCGTCAACAAATGAAAAGTCAATTCTCCTAATTTTATTTTTTATTTTTTGAGTAAAACGCTTCACCTTTCTTAATATCGCATATGTCATCATCATCGACTCTTAAAACTCCAATGGGGATATGATTGCGTTATCAGGAATACATTTTTTGATAGGCTTCTCATCTCGTTCGGTAACCTATGATGGATGGAATTGCGAGGCGTTCTTGGAAGTATAAAAACCATCTCAGCTTGAGTGAACGTTACTCGGATGAAGACGACTTTACGAGTACATGCACGAGAGGCGTCAATAATTTTAATCAATACAGAAACAAAATCTTAACCTTTTTATACCGATAAGTCTTAAATTACGATAAGGTGAAGTAACTTCTACCATTGTAAAGAGGCTTGAAAAATATTTTAAGTAAGGCAAATCGAAATATAGAACAAATTTGCGTTTTTCTTAAAACCTACGTAGAATTTATAATAAACACTAACATATTTTAAAATCACTTGAGATAAGTTAGTAATATGTTTGACAATGCGACAAAAAACAAATATAAACATAATTTTTTTTTGGTTCACAGTAACAGAAAAATATTTTTATTGAACTTAATGATGTAATTTCTGTATATTTTACTAAAAAAAACACAAGCCATTTACTTGTTTCCAAACACTCAGCAATTCCTTAATAGGGCATCGTATGTATACGCTTTTATAATCAAATGCCGGAAACATTGTCTTTCTAACAAAAAAGTTTTAAACTTTTGTTATACAAAATCAGCATATAAAGGTAAGGGTAGTTTTTAATAATTAAGTGAGTGTAGAGAAGCGCAGATCCTTTTTTACTTCAATCGAACGAGGCTTGCCGTCTTATTCCTCAGGGTTGTCAACGCATCTGTGTTTTGACTCTTAATTGAGGATAAATGTAGAAGTCTATGTTCCATAGCATTTACTTACCATCAGGTGAACGGTATGTACGTTTGTTATCCTTATACGACAAAAAATAAAACGTGATTGATAACAACCCCTAAGAATAAAGTTATCACTACCATTTTATTTCTAACGTTTTATATTCAACTAGTAATCCGCTCCGGCTTCACACAGGTGGCACAATTATACTCACTTACCCAGAGGGCGTAGTTGTAAGTTTGTCTATCGACCTGCTACGTAGTGCTTCTAGTTACGATTCACGTTAAATTTTTGTCACTTTTTCTCAAATTACATAAGATTACTAAATTTTAATCTTAAGTTATAGCAGTGTGTTACTACCTTATAAAGTGATTCTTACTTTAACCTACAACGCTAACATAAATAAAATAAAATACTTACGGTAAAGTAAACCTGTTTCTCTACGTGGTAGGGCCACGTTGCAGCTATATCATGGCTTTAGGACGAATGGGTCGGTTAGAATGGGGAAAGTCCGCAACCTCACATGATATCAACGTAAGATTAATGCTGCTGTTTCATGAGGTCTGGAGAACCCGAGACCCTTTTAACTGGAAGCGAAGCTCTAACTTGTCCCTTCCGAGTAGCAGCGAATCCTCATTTTCATTCTTATTCGACGGCAGATATTGATGTCTATGACATCTACATCTGTGAATAGAGCCAGCCACAGTATCCTCTTTTCATCAGGTAAACTGCACGCTCATATCCGGCTTTATTCTATTAAAAAAAAACCTTAAACCTTAGCAACTATAATATAACTATAATATATAACTTGCAAGTACGGCCTTTTTACATCTTCAATTCTATCCACAATCAAAATCAACAAAGGTGGCATTCCCTAGCGTAATCTTACTAAGTATAAACATCATGAACGCTAGGCTGTGCTTAATGAATTCGGGTGTATTATATCGACTTAGTTTCAGTGGCGAACGCGAAAGGTCACTTTTAAGCCAAACTTGTGAACAAAATGCTTGCAATAGTGGCTATTTTAATCTGGGTAAAATGCGTAAAGTTTTACTACATGAATTTTAACAGCTTTATTTTTGTTAAGATGAGATGATCATTTTAGATTTTCTTTAAAAATATTTGAGAAGAAAAACTCCACTATACTTTATCTCTTCATATATTTTTATCGGTTTACGAAGCGCACGTAATGGAACCACTCATGGGCCACGACTTTTTGTAACTTATTCGACAAATGTCACTTAGCGTTTTTGCACAAAATAGTCATAAATTATTTACGTAAGCCTTCCTCGTGAATTAATCTGTCTATTGGTGAAAGCTGAATTAAATTTTTCAGGATTAAAATGCATGTGTTTTCTCATGGGTGACTTTTGTCAAAAAAGTTGGAATGCTACGTTTTCAAATACCATTACCATACCATAACCATACCATTACCATACCATTACCATACCATTACCATACCATTACCATACCATTACCATACCATCTGGTATTTGAAAAGGACCAAGAGAGAA